CAGTGTTTCCCAGTAAATTTTTCATCACATACACACAAGAAATCCCCATTTAGACTCTCACATATTCCATTCTGACAAGGAAATGGTTGACAGTAATTTTGAGGTGGCAGTACTGAAGTTGAAGACAATGAGATTTAATATGAAGTATTATTTTAAAATGTAACATACCTTCATCTAATGGATCTATCACCAGTGTATAAGAAGTATCCAGTATATCTCCAATATTAGCTTCATTATCAGCTCTGCATGAATAGCTGCCATCATCTATACCTCTTACAAGATCAGTAATTGTCAGAGTACTAGTTATTTGTTGGATATCCGAAATTTTTCGAAATCCTTCAATCTCTTGTGATGTTGAAATTACTCTCTTTCTGCTCTCAATAATTAGTTGTCCATCTTTCCTCCAAACTATTTTTGGTCGTGGAAGGCCATCAGCAGTGCAGTTAAAGGTTACATTTTGACCACTCTTTCTTTCTTTCTCTTCTCCGTTATAGCTTAATAAGACTGCTGGTACTGTGTAGAGATATAACAATACAATTTATTGTTATTATTATTATTATACTAACCAAAAACATCCAGCTCAGTAGCCATTGATGTCACAATTCCAGCTTCAGTTGTGACTATTATTCTGTACAATCCTCTGTCATTTACATTGATTGATGAAAAAACTCTATAAAGCTTGCTACCAGGAGTACTAGAATATGTATTGTTAGTAATTGACTTAAACTCCCATTTAATGTTAGTAATATTTTTAATATCTTCTTTGTTTGTGATTGTGAATGAAATATTTGCTGTTTCCTTCCACACTGCTTCAATTTTTTCATTATCTGGTTGTATGTTTGCTGGAACTTAATTATTAAATACCATTATTACTATAAAATAAAATTTTATATAGCTTACAGTGTATTGTAATGTAGGCAGTTGCATTGATAGATTTTTTCTCAACTAAATCATTTGATGCCTGACACATGTAATTTCCTTGTGATGTTCTTTCACTATTCTCTATAGTGAGAACGCTTGATACTCTATTGTCTGAAATAACATTATTAATAATATATTGACTGTCAATGACATTGACTCCTTCCTTTAACCATGTTACTACTGGTCGTGGTACACCAAACACTAAGCATTGTAGATTAATACTTTTACCAATCACAACAGCTTTGTCTGTCAATGTTGCATCATAAAATGTTGGAGGCACTAATATAAACAACAAAATAAATAAAAATGTTAAAAATAATTGTGTTACCTTGAACTGATAGCATTACTCTGTCACTTGTGGCATCATCAAACGCATCAGATGTGCCACAGTAATATACTCCAGCATCATTTACTGAGACATTATAAATGTACAGTAGGTTTGATCTTGTAATGTTATACTTCATACTATTACTTAGCTTGCTACCATTGAAATGCCAGTTAATTGTTGAAGGAGGAAATGCTCTACTACAATTCAATTGTACAGTTGTATCATGCAGTGCTTGAACTGTTGTAGTCATGTATACATATGGCCCTATAAAATTTTAAATGCTATTATATCAAATATTCAATGTGGAGCTAACCTTCTGGAGAAGGTGATGGGGAAGGAAAAGATGTACTCGACTGAAATGTGGCTGTCGTTGTTGTTTCTGTGAGAGATATCACTGAAGTCTGTACTGATGATGCTTGATTGATTGATGGTAATGTGCTTGATACATTAATGGATGATTCAATAACTGATTGACTTATGGATGGAGATGGTGTGATGGGTTTTGTAATACTACTTGTGAACAGCCCTGTGTTCAACTCACTTGTAGATAGCTCTGTGCTTAATTGACTCGTTG